GAGGTACCACTGTACATTAATTGGAATAAAACCAATAGTAATATTACTATATTTTTATTTGCAGCATTTAAAAGCCAGAAAGACTTCACTGCTGAACATTTTTGTTTGCTGTACAGTAGCTGAAGGTAACAGAATAGCTTGAGGACTAAATGACCCTGGAAGAAAAGTCAATGACGTGCACAGTTCCTCCCTCCAAGAGATGAAGGAATTTAGCAAGGTGGGAAAATAGAAGCATCTAGTTTTGGAAGCCAGAGATGCTTTGCCTTTCAGTTGAACAACAGGTTTAAAGGAATGGAGATTGCAAGTAGAAATCATAGATTTATTCAACGAGACTTTCTGCTGGTTTTAGGAGAAACTACATTTAGGGGCTGAGGCTGGACCTGAGTCTCCTGATCTGCACATGGGTGCCACATTCATTTCTTCGTTCATTATAGGACCAAATATTATTGGACCTAACTGCAGAGATGAAAAAGAAAAGATTCTCCCTGCTGTTTTCCACCCGTAACACTTCTTGTAGTTTCTGTGTATAGTTTCTGTTCATTTAAGGTAATGTGGCAATCCAAGTGTTGCAACTGCTAACAATCCACTGATGGAATTAATGTTGGGCTTGATGTTATCCCAACCCTAACCCAATAATTCATAGAAATCAATGTTTTGAAAGCATTACCTTGACATTTTCCTCTGTTATATATTTCTCAGCTTTATCCACAGCATTTTGTCTAATTCGATGCAGAAAGGCCTGCAGGGAAATAAAAAAAAAGAGAGTATTATTTTCAAACTGATCCTTCTTTAATTTCACTTATTCTATCTTCAGGGTTTTCACTGGCATTGAGCCATGAGATACAAATCTGGGATTCTTCTGGGATAAAGGGGAGATCACTTTACATACTCGTAAGCATCAGCTGTAAAATTTTGATATTGGAACACTGCACGTTTTGATCAAAGCACCTCTTTCAAACTTGCTTGGAGCTTGCCTGACAACAAGCATCTTCCCTCAGAACTTGTAGTACTTAATTTTACTTAGACAACTGGCACCACTGGCACACCAAAGGAAACAACTGTTTGCTTAACCCTTCTGAACCTCTCCTTCTCCCCATAAAAACGTGACTGTTCTGCATTGATTAGGGAGGTGTGATGTCTGGATTTCATCACACAAAAAATATCTGTGTCAAGCTGAGGGGTAGAGGAGGGTAGAACTGAAAATGCTTAACCAAACAGAGTGGGGAAAATAAGGGCATTCTGAAACCAACATGTAGCATATGTGTCTATGAGCACCTATAATGTAGTCTCTCCACCTCCCCACCACCCCTTTTCAATTTTATCTTTGTTTCAACCACACATCAACATAGAACCACAGAACTGGAAAGGGCCCTTTAGTCCAATCCTTTTCAGGAATCCAAATTAAATCATTCCTGGCTGCTCTGCCTCTGCCTGAGCACATCCAAGGAAAAGGAGATCACTTTTTCCAGTAGTAATATGCTCCACCGTACAATTGTTGTTAAGACGTATTTTAACTGGAAACTAAGTTTTATGAGGAGATATAATAGCATTGTTCAGGTATCTGAAAGATGTCGCACTCTATTGTCCAAGAGTGCAGGACATGATATAATGATTTTAAGTTTCAGGAAAACTTATACTTCCTCATAAAACTTAGTTTCCAATTCCCTGTATTGTCTTACATAGAAGCATGTATTAAGTAAAAAATTCCTGCTATTTCTGTGATCATCCCCACTGCCTTTCTCTGCACCCGTTCCAATTTATCTAGTCACGTTTTCTTAAAATGTGGTGTCCTATTTGACGTGGAGTCTGCCCAGTGCAGAATATAGTAGAACACCTCTAGTCATTTGGAGATATTCTTACAAGAACTGCTGGAGTAGCCCAAGGTCCACACCAGTCCGGCATCATTTCCCTCATTTCTCTTCTCTTGTTAACCCCCAAACACTGAAACAAAACCAAAAACCTCTTATTTGCTTCACCAAAGTTCTTCCATAGCTTGGTATAGGTTCTTTGCGTAGGAGTCTGTTTTGGAAAATTGTTCACAATGCTACTAGAAAAATCTGCGCCCATTTATTTCTTGTTTGCCTAACCGGGCCTGCACAACTTATTAGGAGGGGAAGGGCCACACCGATAAATTAAAAATCACTGCAGGCTGCAGAGGAATACCTGGCATGCCAATCAGCTGTTCGGCAGCTCGTGAAGCAGTGCAAGTGATTGAGCTGGTGATGGCGGCAGCGGTGAGGCTTGGAGGCACTCGGCAGCACATCTTTCAGAGCAGTGGTGATGAATTTACTACTTTTTTAAAAAGGCTGGTGGACCCCATGCAGCCCATGGGCCTTTATGTTGTGCAGGCCTGTTCCTAGACCATCTTAACTGATTCCAACAATGGTTTCTCCCAGATGGGTATGTCTGACTCATTCCCATGCATTATCTTGTATCTTCCTTCCCTATCGAAAGGATGAGGAGGCGGCCTCAGAGTAGAAAAAGGCATAAGTTCCCCCTTCTCCTTTTTAGGTGGTGCAGGGAAAGGAATTCTTAACACTGTGATACACTTGTACTGTATCTCATTCATGCTGCTGGGAGCAACCCAGATCCAACAGCAAGTAGAAGTTGTGAAACCACTTCCCATTTCATAGGAGGAGGAAATACTTTCTTCTGGCAAAGGACAGACTAAGGCAGGGGAAACTAAGCCCTCTTTTTGTTTCTGAAAGTGTGCATGGTATCTTGACCAAGAGAGACCCTGTGCTGAAATTCCAGCACTTCTGACTTGCATCTTTCTTCTATACTCAGTAACTACACTCACACGAGGCCAAGGGACAATGTGATTTACTGGGTTCATTTTAACACTACAGGGCTAGCTTAGTCTACATGGAAGCAATATGCATTACAGGTTTTTAAAGTGAGCGTCATGAGACTACGGAATCAGAGTTTTCAATAACTAACTGCACCACTCGCTAAACTGCCATCCAGTCCCAAAGACCAAACCACTTCCTCTTTGACTGAAAAGTGAAAAATGGAAAGAGGGGAAATAAATTTCAGCATGGTCTTGCTTATCCGAGTTTCAATTCCAAAATAAAAATCATCCACATTAGCAGAAGTAGGAGAACAAGGAGGAGGTGGTAAGGGTAGATGACAAATTGCAAATGAATCTTACTTTTTGTTTACTATCCATATTTCCAAATACATATTAACTGATATATAAGAAGGCGATTCAATTCTTGCTGAAAACTGCTAGGTTCATTATTGCAAAACACAGGAAAATTAAATTACATCTCTCATTGGATCAGTGGGATTTAAAAGGGTGGGGAACTATAGGCAGAAAAATTAAGGCAGCATTGCAAAAACAGTACAAGATAGAATAACTTCAATCACATCTGGTTATGATATAGCTGCTTTATTTAAAATGAGTGGTTCAGGTGTTGGACTAGGAGTGGGGAGACCCAGGTTCTAGTTCTCCCTTAGCCATGGAAGCTCCCTGAGTGACTTTGGGTGAGCCATCCTCTCAGCCCAATCTACCTCACATGGTTGTTGTTGATGTGGAGAAAAATAGGGAGAAGGAGAACTACTTAAGCTGCCTTGAAATCCAGAAACTAAAGGATTATAAACCAAATAAATAAATAAATGATTACCCTTGCCTATTCAAATGTTTTGAATTCACATGTTGTCACATGGTGAATCTGAATTACTAAAACACCTATGTTTTTCCTCAAGAATGTGTGTGCTAATGTATACAGTATGTGTGTGTGTGTTTATTATACAGATTGATTTTTTTAACGTATCTTTGTATTGTTAGTGTTCTTTTTGTTGTTCTTGCTGTTGAAGTTCTACATTTTCATTTTGTAAAAATAAAAATAAAATAATGATTTTAATAATCAGTTCGTACTTGCTACAGCAAGCCTATCAGGAGAAATTGGGAGATTCTGAAAAACCTGCCCTAAGGGAACACGCCTGGGCTAATTTCAAGCAGACCTCTCCTTAATTTCAAAACCTCTGGCAGATAGCCAGCCCTCTATTAAAAGTTCTCTCTACATCCCTGGCAACCTGCTACTTGGGAGAAAGCAAGGAGAAAGAAGGGAAAAGTGGGGAGATGGTGCCACACCCATTGCCCCAGACATGGCTGGCTTCAGTTTTGCTCAACAGAGGCAAACAGCTCTCAGCGAGTTACCTCTGAAGAGATGCGGCCTTCAAAAGATAAACGGTCACTTGCTGCTTCGAGAGGTGATGAAAAAAGATGAGCAGAACCTGATACCTACAAATCTGTGAGTGTTCAGTTCCTGTTCAGAACTCCTGCTCCTCCAAGTGACAGGGTTTTTTTTCGGGGGGAGGGGGTTGGAGCCATAGGGTTGAAAGGGACTTGGAGGTTTCTGGTCCAGCCGTCTGCCCAGGGCAGGAATCCTCACCCAAGACAAATGGCTGTGTAATCTTTCCTTGAAAACCGCCAGTGATGGAGCACCCACAACTTTGGGAGGCAGGCTCTTCCATTGCTTAACAGCTCACACAGACAGGAAATTCCTCCTTATTTAACATTTGGATCTCTCACTGTAGAACTTCCACCCACTAGGGTGCTCTGAAGAATAAATCCACACTGTCTTCCCTATGACATCCCTTCATATATTGGAAGGCTGCTATCATGTCTCCCTTAGCCTTCTCTTCTTTAGGCTAAACATACCAAGTTTCTTTAAGCTCTCCTCATAGGATTTAGCCTTCAAGCTCCTTTGTCATACTCTTTCAAGTTCCTCAGGGTCCTTTCTGTATTGTGGCAACCAGAACTGGACACAGTATTCCAGGTGTGGACTGATTAGTGCAGCATACAGCAGTACTATCACTTCCTGTGATCTTGAGACTATACTTCTATGGATGCAGCCTAAAACTGCATTGGCTGTTTTGGCAGCTGCAGCACATTGCTGGCTCATGTTTAATCTGTGGTCTACCAGGACACCCAGATCCTTCTCACAAGTACTACTGCTAAGCCATTTACCACCTATCTTGTATCTGTGCAGCTGTTTTTTCTTGCCTAAGTGCAGAACATTACATTTCTCACTACTGAACAATGTTTTGTTGGATAGGGCCCAATGTTCAAGTCTATCAAGATCCTTTTGAATCTTGAGCCTGTCTTCTAGGGAGTTAGCAATCTACCCCCACCCAAGGTTTGTATCATCCAAATATTTTATGAGCATCCCTTCTATTCCCCCATCTAAGCCATTTATTAAGATATTGAAGAGTACTGGGTCCAGGACAGAACCGTGGGGTACTTCACAACACATCTCACTCCATGTGAACACAGACCCATTAAGGACCACATAGTTGTTCAGCCAACTGTGAATCCATCTGGTAGTGGGACCATCCATCCACATTGTTCCAGTTTATCAAAAAGACTATGATCTACTTTATCAAATGCTTTGGGGGATATATTATTAAACTGGAAATATTTGTACTTTCAGGATCTGAAAGTCTGCTCAGTTAATCTTGGGATAAAGGCCATTAAGTACCACAATGTAGGAATATAACACAATGGTTGCTCCTGCTAATATATATGCTTTCTCCCCCTGATCGCCGAAGTCAGAGTTTGTTCTTTTGTAACTTCCTATAAACATACCTTGCTTTTTAAAAACTCTAATCAAATGGGCAGTGTTCATGGCCAGATAAATAAATAATGGTTAGGTTATCGTTATAAGGGATGTTTCTCAAAATCACTGGTGGGGAGGGAGAGAGGATCATTAGACAGAAGACATCCTTAGGATTCCTGATCAAAAACATCTGATT